CCCACACTCCCTCTCAACTTTATGATTTTTTTTTCTTTTTTTGGTTTTTCGAGACAGGGTTTCTCTGTAGTTTTGGAGCCTGTCCCGGAACTAGCTCTTGTAGACCAGGCTGGTCTAGAACTCACAAAGATCCGCCTGTCTCTGCCTCCCGAGTGCTGGGATTAAAGGCATGCACCACCACCCGGCTATGATTTCTTATATAAACACACACACACACACACACACACACACACACACACACACACACACCACCTGTTGTACCTACTTAGTGTTGCTCTTATGTGTTTAGGGTTGACCACAATTTGGGACTGGATAATAACCTATCAGGGAGCATGACCTCAGAGAATACTGATTGTCCCTCTCTTTCAGTAGCCATGAATTGCCTTTCATCTAGACACTGGGACTTGAGATTTCCACATCCACGTTGGGTGTGAACCGGTGTTGTCGTTGGGCTGCTCTTGTGTAAGTGAGCATATTGTTAAGATTTTGTGGAAGCGACTTCCTGTCATATACAGAAGACAGTATCTCATAGCAATCCACTTTTAACAGAACCCCATGAACAGTGTAGTGGAAAGAACAAGAACTGAGAAAAGGAAGAAATATAAAATTGTTTATCAGCGTCCAACACTGGGAAACCAGCAGAAAGGGTTGTGACTGACCCTAAAGCGCATTTCTGGTTCCCTCATGATTCTCATCACTCCTCTGACTCCTGCATCTGATATTGACCGCACTCAGGGGTGTTTAATAGTCAACACCTGGGACAGTGCTCGATGGAAAAGTGTTGCGTTTTCCTACTGATGTGTAGGTTTGCGAGCCTAGACATGAACAGGTGGCTTGTGCCTTTTGGAACCCACCTGAGCTTTTTGTGGTTCTTTATTTTACCCAAAACACACTCTGATCACCAGAGAACTTTTCTTAACGCTGGCTTTAAAAATTTGTAACCACTTGCTCTAGAATGGTCAATACACACAGATGTAATTACTGGGACACAATTGTCCAAACTTGTGTTCTACTGTTCCCAAAAGTTCTCTGTTTTGGCTAAGTTGAGGTTCCAGTCCTGTCTTTGCCACTAAGCGTTGTGTAACCTGTGGCAAGACAGTTCATCATAGGAGGGCACAAATAATATGTAGGAAAGCATTCTGGAAATTGTACTTGAAATAGTAGTTATCAAACTTGGTCTGTAAATTTCCCCAGAGCCTAAAATTTTTATTCATTTTCAAAGTAATGATAGTGAATTCATCTGATAAGTGCCAGCAATTATATTTTGGCACATATGAACTCCATCAATCACAAAGCTGCTGTCCATTTAAAGAGTATGCTGAGTTTAAATAACAGCCCCCCCCCAATAAAGTCAAGTCTTCAGTAACTTAGGATGAAAGTTTCCGCAGAATGATACAGGAGTTAAAAAAAAAATACATTGAAAAAAAATAAAAACAAATAAATAAATAAAAAAATACATTGAGTCACACCTAAAAAAACAGTTTCCACACTAAAAATAAACACAACCAGCCTCAGTGGTGGCATAAGCCTTTAATCCCAGCACTTGGAAGGCAGAATAAAGTGGGTCTCTGAGTTTAAGGCCAGCAGGGTCTATAAAGTTCCAGGACAGTCGGGGCTACATAGAGAAACCTTGTCTCATAAAACCAAAACAAACCAAAACCCCCCAAATTTGCCCTTCCTGTGTCTTTTTTTTTTTTTTTTTTTTTTAGTTTTTCGAGACAGGGTTTCTCTGTAGCTTTGGAGCTTGTCCTGGCACTAGCTCTTGTAGACCAGGCTGGCCTCGAACTCACAGAGATCCGCCTGTCTCTGCCTCCCGAGTGCTGGGATTAAAGGCGTGCGCCACCACCACCCGGCCTTCCTGTGTCTTATAAATGAAAATTATTAGATACAATAGAAATCCCAGCTGCAAAGGTTGTGGCCACTCATTCATTTCACAATACTTAGTACCTAGTCAGTCCTGAAATAGTGGCTACAATATTCTGGAAACAAATAACACATGCTAAATCACATATATAAGCTTTATTTTACACGTGTCTGTGTAAAAATCATAGAGCCTCAGAAGCATTTCTAAAAGTTATTTAGACTAGCAGGTCCAGAAGTGAGTTTTTTTTTAGGCTTATAACAATTCCTTTTTGAGAAAATATGTTGACATTTTTTAAAAAAAACTTTTCCAAATAAAGGGTTTAAAAAACAATCAAAAAATGGTGTCATCGGGACCATTTCTGAAGATTTACTTTATGTGTATGGGTGTTTTGACTGCATGTATACCTGTGCACCCTGTGGGTATCTGCGTGTATGCAGCACCCAGAGCCCAGAGAACATCCGATTCTCTGGAACCGGAGTTATGGATGGTTGTGAGCCACCATATGGATGCTGGGAGCCAAACCTGGGTCTGCTAAAACAGCTGCAAGAGGTTGAGCCACCTCTCCAACCCCCATCAGCATCATTTTATAAAAATGTATGCTATTGACACAAATGTAGGAAGAATTTGTGTGTGTGTGTGTGGTTTTTCGAGACAGGGTTTCTTTGTTTCCTGGAACTAGCTCTTGTAGACCATGCTGGCCTCGAACTCAGAGATCTGCCTGTCCCCCCCACAGTGTGCACCACCACTGCCCGGCAGGAAGAATTTCAATAAAGTACAATGTGAAATTAGATTAGGAAGTGGAGAACTGCACTTCTGTAAGTTTACACAATGCTTTGCTAGACTTGTACCTATCCACACACATACCTTAAAAAAAAAAAATCACTAACTCGGGCCACTTTGTCCTCTCCCTATTACATCAACTGAGCATTTATGTACTGCCAGCAAGACTCCTTTTTTCTCAGCTTCCATGGAAGCTATGACCAACCCTGGTTTTCTTATACTTCAGAACTCCTTGTTAAATCCTAGATGGATTCTGTTTCTCACTACTGTACCAGCTTTCAACATGGCATTTAAGGCTTTTTTTTTTCTTTCCCGTTTTCCCTTGGTTTGGAATGACAGCTCAGTGGTTTAGAGCACTTACTACTCTTGCAGAGGACCCGGAAATCAGTTTTTGTCACCCATATTAGGTGGCTTTCAGGCACATGTGACTCCAGTTCAGGCGATGCAGTTCTCTCTGGCACCCACGTATGTGGTGCACATAAACATGCAAACACACACACACACAAAATAAAAAAAATACATCTTTTTTTTTCATTTTGATGAGTTCATTTTAGGGTTGACTTAACATTTTTACAACCTAGGGCTATCATCATGCTTCCTTGCAATCGACAGGGCTTTTGTAAACTTTATAATTTCACGTTCAATTTTCAGTCAAATTTTGTAATTGAAAATAAGGTCAAGTCCTGCTTGTCTTATCAGTTTTTACTTTAAACAAATACCTTGTTAAGTTTATATGCCGTCAATTTTGTTTTTCTTTTTCAGATTTATGCGTTTTATGTATGTGAGCGCTCTACTTACATGTATACCTGCATGACAGAAAAGGGCTTTGGATCACATTATAGGTGGTTGTGAACCACCATCATGTTGTTACTGGGAATTAAACTCAGGACCTCTGACAGAGGAGTCAGGGCTCTTAACCACTGAGCCTCTCTCCAGGCCCCACTTTTATTTTTTAATAGTTAATCTGTGCCGTTTACATACTAAAACGCGACTTTCTTTGGGGGATGGGTACAACAATTTTTACTGTGCGCATTTTTATATTTATTTATTTATTTATTTTGAGGAGAGGGGTTGGAGACAGAGTTTCTTTGCGTATCCATGGCTTTCCTGGAACTAGCTTGTTGGCCAGGCTGGCCTCAAACTCGGATTCACCTGCTTCTGCCTCCCAAGTACTGGGATTAAAGGCATGTGCACCATTATCTCCCGGCTTGTTATTGTTTTTCTCTTCATCATATGTTAGTAATAATATTATGAAGCACCTACTAGATTTGTTCCTTTCAGACCAAGTGTATTCATAGGGGGAGACCAATTCCAGGTTCTGAGTAGGGGAGGGAAGTTCGCAACATTCCACGGAGCCCCGAACTCTAATTATTAGTAATCAACTAGGCCAGATAAAAACCTGAGCCACTTCCTGAACCCAGCTCGCCCAGCGCAGCTTTTCTCTTTCCAAGCAGAAGCTAGGCTGGAAAAGGACGGCGCCAGAGAGGGACTTGAAGAAGGATCAAAGGTTATAAACCACCTCAAACGCGGAATAATGGTCAACACTCAACTCCCAAGGAGATCAGAAGCTTCCATGGCCACATTTGAAATTTAAAAAAAAAAGAAAAAGAAAAAAGGTGACTCCTTAACGCTCTCCCTAGACGCACAGCCCAAGACAAGCCTCGGGGCCAGAAGTGACTAACAGGTAGCTAGAGTGGACCCGCAGCCGGCCGGAAGTGGAAGTGAGCCCGGGCTGGGGAAAGACGGCAGGCCGTACCGGGCTTGCGCGGTCCGCAGGCATTGCAGCGCGCAGGCGCAGCTGGGCGGTGCCGGGGTGACGCTTGGAGCGTGGGCTGCGACTCTCGCGGATCCGGTTCCGCCCTCCGTCTCGCAGCCCACCCTACCGAAAGAGCGCCCGAGCTCCCTTTCCCAGAGTGCTCTGCGCCGTGAAGAAGCGGCTCCCAGGGACTGGGGGCATTTTGTGTTGGCTGGAGCTGGAGGAACAAGATGGCGGCATTGGCGGAGTGACGGGGTCCGTCCGGGCCGGAGCCGGCGGCAGTGGTGGCATCGGTACCGCCGCCCTACCTCACCGCGCCCCTTTCCCAGCCCGCAACGTCGCCACGGACGCGAGACAGCGGCGGCCGCCCCAAAGCAACCGGCCGAGCGTCAGCCGCCGCGACCACTCTTCACGAACCGGCCCCTCAGCGAGCGGCGGCGATCCGGCTTCTCGCAGCCGACTCCGCGCCCCTGTAACGCCAACAAAGCCTCGCTTTTCGCTTGCCCGCCGCGCTCCGCAGTTGTACCGGGCGGAACAGACCCGGAGGCCTCCATCCTCTCCCCAGAGGTGTCGGGGCTTCGCCCCCGCCTCCATCTTCGCGTCTCAGGATGGCGAGCAGCAGCGGCTCTAAAGCCGAATTTATCGTCGGAGGGAAATACAAACTGGTGCGGAAGATCGGATCTGGCTCCTTCGGGGACATTTATCTGGCGATCAACATCACCAATGGCGAGGTAATCACCCGGTGAGGGGAGGGAGACGATAACGCTGGGCTGTTGTCCCCCCCCCCCAACCCCCCTAAGTACTCCAAGCCTCATCCCACTGCACGCACGCACGCACGCACTGGGGAGTCTAGAGCGAGCCAGCTTTCCTGGCTTAGCAACCTCCCCCACTATTTCCCTAAAAAGGAAAAACGCGATAGAAGGGCTGGATAAACTCTGAGGTTTCCCAACTTGTCCAAAATGTCTCTTTTTAACGTTAATTAAGAAGTAGGGCGAAGTCGTGTAATCGCCATGGTAGTCTTTGTATTTTTTTAGTTTGGGATTCTTGTTCCAGTTAGAACAGTTTCCTTCTTTAAAAAATCTCGCCTTACGTTTCAAGGTTGCCTGTTTTCTGGACGAATCCTTTCATTCACTTTAGATTGAGAGGACATGGAAGGTTCGCCATTGTCCCCAGGAAAAAGCCTTTGAAGCTGGTTGGCTTGTTTTGTAATTAGTGAAGGTTGCTTTCCCCATCCTCTCACGTCCTTGTAGTGGCGACTAGAAGCAAACATTGCTAATGTCTCTTCTCGTTTCCCAAGTGAGTTTGAATCCGTAGGGATGTTGATGCCATCATCCCCTTTCCTCTGCAGGAAGTGGCAGTGAAGCTAGAATCCCAGAAGGCCAGGCATCCCCAGTTGCTGTACGAGAGCAAATTGTATAAGATTCTTCAAGGTGGGGTTGGCATCCCTCACATACGGTAAGCACCTTTGAGCGCAGTTGATCACAGAGGGAATTGCGAAATGGTGAAAGGGGTTGAGGCTGATAATGAAACCGGCTGAATCGGTTGTGGTGCTGAGTTCCCCAGGTTCCACAGTTAACCATAATCGTTGAATAAATTTTAGTTCTCCGACTTAGTTGAAATTTTGTGTGCTACTGCATTTAGTTTCTGTCATTTCTCCGCTTCCCGTGGCTCTCATTTTCAGTTAACTATGCAGGTCATCTTTGATCCCTACGCGGAAGGGATCTTGCTGTCTTTAAGGCGACACTTTTGTAATTCGTACGTTTGTCCACTGAAGTGGTTTTGAAGGTGCGGATGTGACCGAGTTTCGTCTGTTGGGGTTGCTATCGGAACTGGTTTGGGAAATGGCTGCTCTTTTGTTGTGTTTTTGTTCCAACATGTCTTCCTCCTCCGCTTAGAAAATGGCGGAACGACGTGACTCAACCCCCATATTCCTGCCTTTTTCTTCGCTTGGATTCACATATTAAGCTTCCTTGATTTCCCTTTAGCAGCCTTAAATGGATAAACCCTTGAAAAGCCAAGAATTAAGTTCCATAAGGCCATGAGACTCTGGGAAGAAGATGTCATAACAGAGTATGATCTCTAGTTGATGCGACATAACTTGTTAAATTATGCTGACCTAAAATTCTTAATATCCCTGCCAATGTGTTCGTTAGTTTTTGCTTTTGTGAATGGTAATGTCTGAAATATTTCGGTTCTTAAAAACTTTATGGGGCTATGGCAAAGGCAGTTCAGAACAGCACCAACTGTTGAAATCTGGTCAGCTTTATGAAAGAAAGCTTCACTTAGTAGCAGTTTGAGTAGCTTCAACCTGTTGAGTTATTTTGTCTGTAACATTTAAGGAAAATTTGGGGGGTGACTGGTAAATAGAAATAATGATAAAAACTGCTCTTTCGAGTATTTAATTTTATTAATGTTATTTTTAAAATTAAACCTCACTGTTTCCAGCAGTGGTCAAAGATAACATTTACAGAAAAAGTCATAGTTGAGGATTAAGTGGACTGCTACATGATGTTTTCTCTCCTCTTCCCTGTTCTCTGCCTAGTGTGGGTTAAATAGACCAGCCTGGGCCTTGAACGCAGAGATCTGCCTGCCTCTTCCCAAATACGGGGAATAAAGGAGTACACTGTCATACCCAGCTTCTTTTTCCTAAATCCTGAATTGAGTGATGAATTACCTTCAATCTAAATAACAATACATTTAAAGGACAGACATTTTAATATAGACGCTGTGTGAGAAATACTCCACTGGTCATTTGTAAGTGAGCTCTTTCAAAGAAAATTCCAGATTTATTGCAAAGATTAAAGTGAAATTGGAGGAGGTTTGAGTTTTTGAATGGTTTTTGGTCCCTGAAATACAATATGATGGGAGGAAATAGGGCCCTTGACCTCCACTGATTTGCTTCCATTACTATTGTTTTTCCTGTTTGTTTTTTGTTTTTTTTTAACAAGTAGAATCAGTTTGTGTCAGGTTATTTGTGTTTGGCTCATTTCACATATTGGTCATGCTTTTAGGATAACCCTGTGCTGGGAAGTTCATAAATTTAAAAATTCATCACTGCATTTTCAATGCAAAACCAATGCTAATGTGTTCTTTAGTCAGGTAGCCTTAAAGACCATCATTAAGGGCAATGAGTAGTTTACTAAATAAGCAGATGAATAAATCAACAGGGGAACAGACTAGTAGGTGCCCATTATACAATGGTGAATGCAGAGAGAGTTATGGCCTTTGTAAGCTTTCTGTGGGTGGGGCTAAATAGATTAACCTGGCTTTTAAATAAGGCTTCCTGGGAAAGGAGATGATTTCAGGAAGCAAGCTTGGTGGACTGGTTGGGGAGGGCATCCAAGAATAGAGTGGCTTCTGGGAGTGGTTCCTAAGACAGAATGTAATTAGGGAGGGGTGGGGAAAGTGTACACTTGTTAGCAATGGGAGAACAGGTACATAGAAACACAGTGTGTTGTAGTTTTTCCTTTTTATTTTGAAATGGATCTCACTGTATATTTCTGGCTGGTATCAAGAACTCAAGATTCTACTGTCATTCCTTCTAATGCTGGCCACTATGACAGGCTATTTTGTTGGTTTTAAACAAAAGTATAAAAGGACACTTTTTGCACCAAAAGATAAAGATTTCCAAAGTACTTTTTTTGTGCTAACATTTTCCCATTCTTGTATATTTGTCAGCATTTCTGTGTCACTTATGCATAGAATGTTTAAAATATTTACTTGGAAAATATTCAGGCAAGTTGGCTGGCTAGTTTTAGGTAACTAGAATAATGTTTTGTCCATTAGTTAATAGTAATTTAAAAGCTCAAATTTTTACCTATCGTACACATCCCCGTTTCATACTTAAGAGTTTATATACACACAATACTGTTTATAAGATTAGCTTTAAGATATTCTGGTATATCTTAAAAGACAGGATCAAAATTACTGGGCCTCCACAGGTGGGTGGCTTCCCTCTTCCTGTGTAGTTTGAGGGTCTTACAGCCGCCTAGAAAGAGATATAACCAAGAGTGAAGTATGTCATCTGGTTGTATGGTGTAAAAAGAAACTTAATCCTTTTGGCTTCCAGGACATCTGGAAGCTCACCTAGAATTACCATGGCCTTTACATTCCTTTTCTACGTGCAGCTCTGAATTGAATTAACTCTGCAAAGGAAAAACAATTTATATAAACTAGAGCTCTTTAGCGGAACAATTAGATTGAATGCTTGAGTACTTGAACCTAGGGTGATCTACAGGTTTTTGTTTTTTGTTTTGTTTTGTTTTTGTTTTTTCGAGACAGGGTTTCTCTGGCTTTTGGAGCCTGTCCTGGAACTAGCTCTGTAGAACAGGCTGGTCTCGAACTCACAGAGATCCGCCTGCCTCTGCTTCCCAAGTGCTGGGATTAAAGGCGTGCGCCACCATCGCCAGTTGCTTTTTTTTTTTAAACCTCTTTGAGGTTCATCAACTTTCCGTCTCTACAGTTGAAAAAGAATGTGACTAATGTTTAAGTTTTGTTGGGGTTGGAAGAATGTTCAATAGAAATGTTGGGGAAGGCCAGAGAGCTGGACAGTTCAGTTTCCACTACCCATCAGGGGTTTTCCATAACTGCCTCTAACTCCAGCTCAGGGAATCTGGTGCCCTCTTTGTTGTCTAGGCATTTGCACTCCTATATGACATACATTCACACAGATCTACACCCCCCACCCCCCCAGAAGAAATGTTTGGGAAATTTATTCTGCTGGGAAAAGAACTCATTGCCACCTGCTTTTTAGGACAGAACTTTTGGTGTGAACAGGATTCTTCTCTACTTAAAGTCTTTTGCTTAGTTATTCTTCGACCTTTCAGGTTTGGACTTTTAAGGCCTGTATCCAGATGATAGTTGCAAAGCATTCCCCCCTCCCCCAGAGTTTGGTACTTATGTCCAAGTCTTATATTTACGTGGTATTTTATGAAACAGTACCTCACAAAATGTACACATCTGTCTCTGGCAACTTTTAGATTAACTATAGAAAAACATACAATGGTAAGAAGGTAGTTGGGTATGGGGAAATGTTCTTGCCTCCTATGTTTGATCCCCTCCCTTTTTCAAGACAGGGTTTCTCTGTAGCTTAGGAGCTTGTCCTCAAACTCACTCAAGACCAGACTGGCCTTGAGCTTTCAGAGATCCGCCTGCCTCTGCCTCCAGAGTGCTGGGACTAAAGGCGTGCACCACCACCATTTTAGAAAGTATTTACAAAGTATTAGTTAATCCTTTTCACAGCTGAAGTCTTTGTGAGTAAAGTTGAGATGTTGTAAAAGGAAACTGTTGCGTTAGCTTCCTTCAGAGTGTAACTAAATTTACCAATGTTCTAGAAATGCTTTGTATTGTGCATTTATGGGATAGTAGACGGTGTTTTTGAGCTGAACAAAATCTGAGGGATGAATAAGGAACATTTACTCATAAGTTAAACCTTGGGTCTCTGAAGAGTCTTCTCTGGCTCCTAGTTGTCCCGAGGGCCATGATCACCTTGATGTCAAGGTCATACCCGGCCTGCTCAAACTCACCACACCTTTCTAGTTGATACTAAGAAAGCCATATTTTCGCTTCATTCACTATCCACAATTCTCCTGTCTCCTCCATCCACATAGTGTTTAGCAAAAAAACAAAAATTGGCTTCGAGGTGAAGAGTCGTTGATGAAACACATGCTTAACATATGGGAGACTAAATTAAGTACAAGCATCCCAAAGAACAATATAGCTAGGCTTGGTGGCTCATACCAATAATCTAAGCACTTGAACATTAGCTGAGGCCAGCCTGGGTAACAGCAGACCTGTCTGGAAAGAAAAAAAAAGAAATCTAGAATTTGTTGTAACTAAAATGAATTTGAATCTTTGAGACTCACCGTGTGGTGTGGAAATCACTATATACTAGGCTGGCCTTGAACTCATATCCTTCTGCCTCTTGAGTGGTGGGATTAAAGGTGTTCCCCCACCGCTGCCTACTATTGAATCTTTAAAACGGGTTATTAAGTAGGTTACATGAATATGTTTTCATAGTTTCCAGTGAATGAATGTATACTTAAAGTGATGTTCCCTGCTTACTGTTTTGTTTATAATGCAACCTCAGTGGCTCCTAATAGTTGTGACCGCCAGTGTTAGCTAGTTGTAAACTGATTTGTGGTTTAATGGAATTTTTGAAATCTTAGGTATAATTTATATAGTGAAATGTCCAAATGCTAATGTGTGGCTGGATTAGTTTTGACAAATGTACTTTTTTACTGAGATGAAAGAATTAACATATGCATATTACTTAATTTGTGACAATGTTTTTTGTGGTAGTTGTGTGTCATTTCTTCTAAATTTAATGAAAGACTGTTCAAAACAAAGTAATAGCAAAGCCTTCGGGTTGGTAGATACCCTGTAGAAGTTACCTAACAGCATAGTTGATGTAGTTAGGACAGCTGCTGGTTGACATCTCTAGCTTGTTTTCTCCC